GTTTAACGTCCGTTCACTATTGTTCAGAACTTATTGGAATGGGAAAAAACAAGATGGCTCCATGCATTTGCAATTACTGTGAAACTGGACCGCTCCTGATACTGGGACAAATTACTGTATACCTTACCCTGTTGCGATCATTCTGCGATTGCGTTTCATGGAATATGTAGTGGGAGAGCCACTGACAAAGATCGCCAATATTGTCACTATGTCCAGTTGCTATGACAGCTCCTGAAAGCGCAGTCTCCCAAACTTCAGAATTACGCCTTTTGGGAAAACGATTAGGGTGATCTTTTGAACTGTTGGCAAAGGTCGGACTAAGGGGGAAGGTAGGGATAGTCTGACAGAGTATTTCTCCACAAACACGCTCTGTGAAGCGTTTTCCATGTGACCTTTGAGGTTTCTGCATGTTTACTATATACCCCTCCTATTTACCAGCTTTTTTCTGATGGATGAAATCAGTGAATGACTGGCCAAACTCCCCCTCCTCCTCCTCCCTCACTTTCAGTTCGACCCCTCGACTGATGTCAATTTTTCGAGAGAAAAACTGGATCGTTTCTCAGAAGGAAAAAGTGGCGGAAGTTGGGGAACCTCGAAAAGATGGTAGGTGGAGAGGGAGGGTGGTACCAGATGAGCACCTTCTAGCTAGAGGGGGGGGGGTGTCACACTGACACCGCCATTACACACACGGTGTTGTACCCTCAGTCGAACCGGATCTGGTTCTTGGATTCTGGGAGTTTATAGCAGTGGAAATCTACGAATGGCGTGATGCAGGAAGACCATTGCCGTCCCTCCACATGGGTTCTGAGTAGAAAGATCTAGAGTTTTGTAGCATGCAGAAGTGAACAGAGGGGAAAGTCATTTTGATGGAACTTATACAATGGAAAAGATTATTGTGGTCATAAAGACCGAGCTGTTTGAAAATGCTAAAGTGTTCAGGTTTTTGCTCACCATCAGATTGTCCATGCATATGTGAATCGAATAATGTTAATGTTGATGTTGTCCTTTCATAGACGATTAAAACAGTTCTTTCAAATGCAATAAGCAAGAAAAACAGACGATTGTCTCGCGTCAGCTGTGTACTGAATAAGTTCTATTGCTTATCCACAGAAGTAACAAAATTTCCGAAAAAAATTAGTGTCGAGTTTTTGAGTGCAAATATATTGGATAAGCCCTACCTCTTGACCACTGCTTGGATATAAAATGGTAGCTCGGTGCAGAGAGGGCCGGGAACAGAGCAGAAATCAACCTCCTGAATGCTATGAAACAAATGACGCGCTATTAATTTTTGTCTTGCACACTCGTCTCCTAGTTCAGAGCCTTTTCTTTAGTAACGCACCGACATACACTCTCAGAATATACGGAGAGGCTAGAGGATCGAACACGCCTTCCAAGAGCGCAAAGTATAGGTAGTGGAACGATCACGTGTTGTGTGTTTGCATGCTTTTCCATTCGACAGCCCCCGCGGCTCGATGTCGTAGCATGTCGTCCTTCCTTGTGCAAGTAGTACAGCCCCAAGCTAGAGACTGTCCCACTCTATTCGACTCCACAGTGAGCGGGGAGCGAGCTACAGCCGCTCAAAGTTCTAGTTCTAACGCCTGCTCAGTTGGACCGCCTTACTTGCTAGATGCCCTCCGACGAGGCCACTCAGTTGTTCTTAGTTGGGGCGGCGGGCATTAATCGGAATTGCATCTCCTTTTTGCTGACCGCACTCGTGCCCATTGATAATTCTGCTCCTCTTATTTCATCTTTAGCGTCATGGGGGCATATACATGTGAGCTCATCCCATTTCGTGAAACGCGCAAAATTCACGAGTTACCCAATTTTCGTGGTGCAAGAGCTCAACGCACTTAAGTGCACTAAAATGTGCGCTACCGTAATCCCAAATTCAGACACCTCGTTGATAAAATTCCTTTTTCTTCCAAGAGTTTTCCTCCTGCGTTTTTGTTGTTTTTTTTTGTATTCTTTTTTTTGCACTGGATGATATCAACTTTTGCGAGATGTGATAGAGAGATTTGTGAGCTAGGGGTTGCACAGAGACCGCAGGGAGGTGTGACTATGAGGGAGCGATTTTGTTTATGTTGTTCTGGAGGACGCTTCTTGCCTGTTTTCTTCTTTGGGAGATTACTTATCAGCTACTGTTTCATAATTGAAAAGCAACTATCCATGAGACTTTTATCGCGGGAGCTGTCTTTAACAACTAAGAAAATAAGAGGAGGAACCGCAGAAAGCCCCTGTTCCCGCTAGCTCTTCAGCATAAGCGTAGCATGCTGTAAACATGGACGCGAGACGTCGGTGACAGAGATGATAAGCGCGGACAAGAGCGCAACAGACTAACCTATCAAGATGAGATAATTGATGGTGGTAGTCACACTTCTAGATGCATTTGGACCAATTAAAGGCAGTTGGAACGATAAATCCCCAAGGACGAGGATTAATACGCCTGGTAGGACGGAATTCCGAGATCCCCAAGACGTTAGAAACAATACCATAGCAGGACACAACTCGGTGCCCGCAGGCGATTTTTCCGAGAAAAGTACCCTTGCCCTAACAAGCTGCAACATACTGACCCGGACGTCCACCGCGCTCATAGCTGTCCGACCGATGCTGATGCTCGTACCGCTTCATTTGCGAAGTAAAATATGAAGCGAAGGGATTGATATGAAGCGGCTGCGGTGCTGCATGGATATATGAGTACATACTCTACTTCGCTGCGGACGGTTGGGCGTGTCAGCCAGTATGAGTGTGCACAGCGTCAAGGCCGTTCTCTGCCTTCTTGTTGAAGCGCGCATGCGACAAAAAGTGGTAGAAAACGAGTAATACGATCGATATAATACAGTCATATCATTTGTTCGCTTCAAAAACTGGTGGAGAAAGGGTTTGGCACCGCGCCAAACGCAGCCGCACTGACACGCCCAACCGTCCGCAGAGAACTACACTATATGTGCAATCGTCAA